ACTATATAATATATAATATGTAAATATAATATATTGTTAAAAAAATAATAAAAATTTTTTGCAAAATTTTTTTTTTGCATAAATATTTTTCTATTATAAAAGAGATTTAAGCAATATAATATTTTGTTTCTTAAAATGAGATTTTTTTCAATTAAATAATTATTAATTACTTCATAAGTTGAGTTGATGTTTATTGAAAAAAATTTATTTATATTTTGTAAATTAGGAATTTTAATTAAAACGATCACATTTAATACTTATTAATAAATTATAGTTCGAAAATTATGCCTTTTTGTAATTTCTTTTGTCCTTATTCATCATTTTATTATCCAAACGATCATTTGATTAAGAAAAGGATATTTCTCGGATCCGGAGGAATCCATAAAAATCGTGAGGAGAGATTGTGTATAGTAAGGACCTTCGTTATCGGATATCAAGTGAAGAGACTGGTCAACGGGTCATTGGTGAATCATAAAAAATTCTGTATGGCAGCAGGTTGAGAGATCTGGACATCCGATACATTCGAGCTTCGTTCGTTTGACTCTGGATGCCAAGTTTACGCATTTAATGTGCTTTTTCTTCCTTTATTCACTTCTGGCGAGTTCATGATTTTCATGCATCCATATGAATATTAGATAGCAATCAATTTTTTTTTCTTGTTAGATGACTGAATAAAGTTTTATTTAATTATATTTATAATAAAAATAGAAAGAAAAGAATGTGATTTATTGAAGTATACATGAGAAAATATCTCATATTGCTATGTATTTAATGATAAATAGTTAATGATATGTAAAATAAATTAATTTACTTATGATATTGAAATTTTTAAAATTTTTGAACGAGTTATACATATATGTTAAATTATATACCTACTATTCGAAGCAATTTATTTTTATCTAATAAAATTTTTGTATCATTCATTTATATTTATATCATTTTTTTAATTATTTTTGTTTAATAAGATTTTCTTATATTTCTAATCGTTTTAAATATTGACTTCGATCAATTTCTGTAAATAGAAAAAAATATATAGATGAA